TCTGTACTCACCTGCAGTTACTTCTGACCATTTTACTCCTTTTCTCACTTTCTTGTTTGGTTTCAGTCCATCCCTTACATGTCTTTCATCAACTCATTAAACTAATAACTGCTGACCTTTTGTGGATTCACCAGCTAATGAGTGCTCTTCAGGCTGAAAATCCATTAATTAATATTGTAATACTAAATTACTACATTAATTTTTGGTCCATTTTTGTATGTAGCTTCCTTCTATTCAACAACATTTTGGTGGTTTTCTGGCCACTTCTGCATTCCCAGTTTCTTTAATTCTCTCTGTCTGGACCCTCTGGTCTGGTTTGAGAAGTGGTCTCTGGTAGCAAAACTTGTTCCTGTTACCCACAGGGGCTGCCTCTGCCTCTGCATGTTTGCTAATGAACTAGAAGAATGCTCTCCTCTGTGTGAAAGTTGGATGGAGCTCTGTAAAGCTTCATTGCTGCTGTTGACTGGAATGCCGTGTGGAAATGTTCTTGTGGCATTTTACTGGGAGGTATGAGAAACACAGTCTTATGACATTTCGAACAGGGCTGGCATTTATTCCACAACATTGCCCAGTAAAATCTAGTAAGGTTTGCATACCACAGAATCTCTTTCATTTAAAACTGTATTTATGGTTACAGATATACCTTATAATCCTCATAAAGGAAATTCCGGTACTATGACCATTTTTTAAGATTTTAAAATTATAACAGCAGCTGATTCTGAAGTGCTCCCCTCCCATACTGGGGGTGGGACAGCGCTGGTTGCTGCCCAGCAAGCAACCTCCTCCAGGTACATCACAGGGTCTCAAGATTCACTTCCTGCTTTTTTTTATTAAGATCTACATTTGGGCATGGTGACTTAATTTTAAGGAAGAAATAATTTGCTTTCATAGTACTGAATTTTTGTTTCCCTGTCTCCTCAGCCCCCTAAATCAGCCAAACCCCCCTTAATTTTTCCACTACTTTCCCTCTAATTTCTTAATATTTTTCTCTGCAAGAAAGTGACACCAATGGACAACTGTAGCCGTTTCAGGTATTTAATCATTGCTGATATTTTGATAGTCAAATTTCTTACTTCTACTAGCTAGTGAGACCACACTTTTTATTGCATACATTTGTGTGTGGGCGTGTGCCACAGCAAGGGTATGCAGGTCAGAGCACAGTTGCAGAAGTTGGTTCCCTCCTTCCTGGATTGCACTCAGGTTGTCAGCCTTGACAGACAACACTGATTGTGACTAACTTTTTTATTGTTCCATTATTTTGTTGTTTTGTTTCTTGAGACAGAGTCTCACTGTGTAGCCCAAGCTGGTCTGGAACTCACTGTGTAGCTCAGGCTAACCTTGAAATTGTGATAGTCTTCCTCCCTTAGCCTCCTGAGTGCTAGGATTACAGTTGGAAGCTACCATACTCAGGACTTGCTGCTTTTTATTATATAGCAGCTGGAATAAAGTTCTATGTGTCTGTATAAAAACAGCTGAATTTTGTTATCTAAAAGAATGATTGACAAAGAAAAATACCTTTTGAAAACTTCGTCTTTTCGTTTTGAAATAGTTGTTGATTACTAGCAGTTGTAAGGAATGGTTCCAAGAAACTCCATGGACCTCACGTGCTTTTCGCAAGAGTGAAGTCCTGCAGAACTGTCCCAGCCAGGATGTCAATGCTCTTTTCCACTAGCACAGACATCCCTCCTGGTGTTACTTTCTAGTGACACCCACTTCTCTGTCCATCACCACCACATCCCTGACTTCTAGCTGTTCTAAACTGGACTGTTCTCCATTCTAGAACTTTGTTATTTCAAAACCCTCATATAGATGGACCCATCTAGTGTGTAACCTTCTCCAGCTGGTTTTTCATAATGGGCACAATTCCTCAAGATCCATCGAGTTTCTAAACTAAATCTATATATTATTTTGACTGCCGACTAATTAATTAGTCTTTAGTATAGATGACCACTGTTTGTTTAACCATTTGACTGCTGAAGAACTTCTGAGCTGTTTCCAGCTTTGGCTACTACAAGTAATGCATGAGCCTCATGGCCAGGTAATGGCATGTGCTTCTTTCTCCATCATGAATGCCTAGAGTGCCTAATGCTAGTTCTTATGTGTTTCTTAAGAAAACACTGAAGTGTTGTATTTCCTTTTTTAAATCTTCATATTTATTACTATTCTTGTGTGTGTGCATAGCACACCTGCAACAGCCACTCCTGTGAAGGTCAGGAGTTGGTTCTCTGCTGTGAGGCTGCCAGATGTAACGACTGCCTAATTTGTTCTGGTGCAATGAAACTTCTGGAGTCAGAAGTCCAGATAAAGACTTGAAAAATCCAAGGGAAGCAGAGGGATTGGCTGACCCTCTCTCCTGGTTTTTCCTGAACCATCAGCAGCAGAAACTCCCCAGAACTCCTCCTCCTCACTTCCTGTCCTAGAGAGGGAAGTGGTGGGTGGGGCTCCTAAATCCTCCAAGAACTTCATGGCTAATCCCGGTCAGCCCATCACTGACACTGTCCTTTGATTTGAGGTTGCATTATCGACACAGTGGATTGGCTGTAGCAACAGTACTCCTGCAACACTCCTTCCATGGATTCGGAGTATCAAACTCAGGTCCTCAGCAAGTGCATTTATCTTTCACCTACTGAGCCATCTCCTTGCCCCTGTTTTACATTTCCATCACAGTGTGAATTTCTTCATTTTTGCTAGCATTTCCTGCTGTCTTTAGTTTTCATTTCAGTCATTCTGATGGATCTATCAGAATGAGGAATATGCATCTTATGGTGCTTTTAACTTACACTTCCTGAAGGTAATGGTGTTCCTGTTTTAACTATATGGCCTTTTTGGTGAAGTACCTTTTCATGCCTTCACCCTTGAAGTGTGTACACTAAAAACTGGTCTTTTGTCATAGATGTGACTTACAGTATTTTACCCCCACTCTGTCCTATCTCTTCGTCTTAGTGACAGAATCTTTTTGAGAATAAAAGTTGTTTGGTTTCAGGACTTTTTGTTTGTTTGTTTGGCTGTTTGGATTTTTAAAATTGTTTATTTTAGTGTGTATTATGTTTTGCCTGTCTGTATGACTGTGCACCATGTATGTACAGTGCCCACAGGAGCAGATGTCAAATCCTCTAGGACTGGAGCCTACAGGTGGTTATGAACCACCATGTAGGTGCTGGGAATTGAATTTAGGTCTTTTGGACAAGCAGTCAGTCCTTTTAATTGCTGAGTCATCTCTCCAGCCCCTGATTGTTTGTTTGTTTGTCTTGTGTGTATTCTTTTGAGACAGGGTCTCTCTTATATTTCCTGGCTGTCCTGGAACTTACTTTGTAGACCAGGCTGGCCTGGAAGGCACAGAAATCTGCCTGCCTTTGCCTCCCAAGTGCTAGGATTAAAGACATATGCAACCACTGCCTGGCTAAAGCACACTTCTAAAGTAATTGATTACTCTAATAGGTATTTATTGAGTACACACTATATTCCAGCCCATAATATATACATTCAAATGGGCCCTGTATCCTTTAGAGCTAACAATACAAGAAGGAAGTTAGAAACAAAGCCCATTCCTTTCAATGCACTATCTTATGTATTGGAAGTCAGTTTAAGATGATGGCTAAGAACTGAGACCTTGAACTCCATCAAGTGAGGACAGAATCCTGGCTGTTCCATGCACGTTCCATGCCCTCAGTGTCCTTGTTTATAGTGTGCCCCCTCATAAGTCTGCTGTAGAGATTGAATAGTACATGCCAAGCTGTTGACATAAGTTCCTGGTACGGCTTTGGTGCTCACAAAAGGTTTGCAGCTCTCACAGGAGGTGGAGGTTAGAGGTAGTCAGAGGAGAGACCAGTTATTGTAGACAAAGGTATTACTAAACTATAGTAAGGACATTCATCTCAGAGGAGAAATCCTGAAATGAATATTTAAAAACTAAACTTTGGATCAATATGTAGGTCACAAGAACCAGACACTCATCTCTGGGGGAGTATCCTGAACTGAATCTTGAAAACTGGACTGTGGAATAGCATGTAGGATACAAGAACATGAGCCAGAGCTGTGTGAACACTGAAGACTGTGAGCATACATCACATAGTCAGTTGGGGACAATAGGACCTGATGCAGGAATACAAAGTAATAGGCAAGGGCCATGTAATGGAAGGAACTGGACTTTTTTAAGCAGAAGGGAGATACTGAGGAACTTAAGGGAAGAGACTGGTATCACTTCTTGGTAGCTAATTTTGCAGCATGAAGATACTTTGAAGGGGACAGTAACTGTCAGAGCCGTTGGCAATCAGTTGAAAGACAAAAAGCAGGATAATTGGTGTTGTTCTTGCTCCCTCTTTTTATATGTGAAACATTCGTGGATTCTTTTATGAAATGATGTGTGAAGACTCAAAAGCCCTGTCCAAGATTGGCAGTAGTTCCTCTAACTCAGGCAATTAGGACCGAAAGTCTCTTTTCCTCCTCTAGGCTATGTGTAATTCACATAGGTAAGACATATACATACAAGTTACATATTACATAGGGGAAACTTACATTTTAAACTTACACCTCATTTTAAAAAGTTTTAAAGGCCTCAAGGGAAAAGAGTAGATAAACTGAAGGGATAGTGTTGCCCAGAGTTAGATGTTAAAAAAAAAATAATTTGACTCACATGTTATTTATTCTTACCTTCTATTTTATTTTCTCCCATTCATGGGGATTTAAAGATATCATTTACTGTTTTCTTCTTGAGAGGACTAAAAAGAGAAGTATAAAAAATTATTCAGTTCTTACTGTGCCTTTGTATTTCCAGTTGTGCAAGTGGACTTCAGTTTGCCGAGTTGCCCACCATACACACTGGGTAAAGAGTTGCACCCACTTAGTGGATTTTGTGGAGACAAATGAAAAGAATAAATTACTGGTCCTGTATTTTATATAGGATGACACTATCTCTATGACAGTGTGTGTTTGTATCCCACATGCCATAGAGTTTATCCGTTTAAAGTGTATCATTTAATGGTGTCATGTTTCTTCAACAGGGAAAAAAAGATGTGACCCAGATATTCAACAACATTCTGAGAAGACAGATCGGTGCACGGAGTCCTACTGTGGAGTACATCAGTTCTCACCCTCACATCCTGTCTATGCTCCTCAAAGGGTGGGTACCTGGCTTCCTTAGGAGTAGCTGTTAAAAAGTATGCAGTGCACCTCCTTGGCCCCATTTGGAGCTGCAGACTTAGTGTCTGCAACGTAAGAGCGGTGCTCCAGGTCCGTCTCTAAAATGGCTTACGCTGAAGGGAAGTCCTTCCTCTGTGCTCTCGTCTCCTCAGTTGCTGTCTCCTGCCTCTTTCCTCTGCCTTTTTGCTGTCCATGTCTTATTCTGTTATATTTCTTTTGCTTCCTCATCTGTTCCTAACTGCCCAGTTACTATTTTTCTGCTTGCATGATGTTATGTCCCATCATCACACACTCATATGCATTCAAGCACATACATACATACATATACATACATACATATATATACATATACATATATATATATATTCTAATTCTACAACTCAAGCAGTAGAGGTAAGCATTCCTGCAGAAGCTAACATGTCAAGGTGGAGATAAATTATCCCTATGGGAATACAATAGATGTTGCTAAGTTTATACAGAACTATAAAGAAAAATAAGCCTGAATTCTGGCTGGAAAATAGAATCCCCTGTTACTGCTTTTGAAGTCTATCACATGTGTGTCTTGAGCATACTGAGACTACTCTGAATCCTGGAGATGGGTGCTCTGGGTGACGTTCGGCATGCAGACAGCAGGTGATGGTCCTCCCCTGTGCTGCGTTTCTGTTCCTGTTCCATAGCTCAAGCCAGCACAGCTCATTTCACTGCAGAGTAGTCTTGTTTCCAGTGCTGTGGGGCCACATGAAGTCTGTTTCACCTGTGTCACATTCCTCCCTTGTCAATTTATAAATATTTAATTGTGCTAAAGTGATATGTAGCACAGTTTGAAGTCAGCTATATCAACAAACAGAAACTCTTTGTTTTTTCTCCATCCCTCTGTCCCTTTGCCCTGTGATAGCCATTATTCATTTGAGTTTTAAAAATCATAATTTACCTCTGTGTTACAAATAATTCTTAGCTTTTGAGTTGATGGACACTACTGGTCTATTAAGTTAATAGATTCCCAAATGATTTTTAATCTGTTAGTCACAGGGTGTTCTGACACAGAAGTAGACAAGGAAATATGACTATTTAGGGGTTAAATTCATCACCAAGATAAGGCTTGGGCCTGCAAGATAGAAGCCCCTCCGCATCACTGCAATTCTCATCAGTCAGTTCTGCAGACACTGCTTCTTTCCAGGGATTCTCACTCACTGGGGCAACTCAGACATAAGGGGGAAGGGGGAATAATTGTTGATGCTTCTGAGAACAGGACAGATAAGGAGACACACTGGCTGGAATAGCTCTACCTCATCCAGTGTAGGAAGGAGCACTTCACATAGTCCTTTGTTGTTACTATATTATCTTTTGTGAAGTCTTTGAAAATTGAGGCTATGGTCCATTTGTACATCAAACAGTGGCATTATTTAGGGACTCAATGGTGACATGCTATACTGACCACAAGTTCAGCCACGAGGAATGTCACACAGAAAGAAACTGATACTTGTATAACAAGAAGAATTGTTTGTATGCAATGCATAAGGAATTTAGAGTCCACATTTTATGAAAATGTTTTTTTAAGGATCATTTCATTCTAAATTAATTTCTCTCCTGGCTGAGACAGATGCCATTCCAGCTGAGGATGAGGTCATTACACTTCTCTCAGTGTTCCATAAAAAAATCATACCTATGAGATGCTTCATCTAATGTTAAAACCACACATATCTCCCCAAATCTTACTTTTTAAGTTCACTGGGATTTTTTCAACTGTCTACAAAAGTAGCAACTGCAAGAGTTCGTGTACCTATCATGCAGCCATAACTATTTAGCTAGGTGTGCGACACCTCTCCCCTGTGCAGCACCCGATCGTTTTGATTGTTTGTCTGTTTGGTTTGGTTTGGTGTTTTGGTTTTTTGAGACAGGCTTTCTCTGTATTGCTTTGGAACCTGTCCTGGAACTTGCTCTATAGACCAGGCTGGCCTGAAACTCACAGAGATCCACCTACCTCTGCCTCCCGTGCTGGGATTAAAGGCATGTGCCACCAATGCCTGGCTGCACCCAGCCCTTTTTAACTGAGGAATTTTAAAGCAATTCTCTAAACACTTTGATAAGCATCTCAAAAAGAAAAGTAATTTCTTTTAATCACAGTATATTTAAAGGTTAATAAAAATTCTGTAACAACCAATACCCAGCCTACATCAATTTTCCTTGTATTGTTTTTTTTTTTTTCCCTACACTTGACATATTGAAAAAGTATCCTAGCAAGGTCTACTTATTGTATTTGGTTGTGATTTTTCTTGGCCAAAAAATTTGAAGTTCCTCTCATGCAGTACCTCATCCATCCATATATTTCTGTGCTGTGAGTCTGATACAAAGTGAGTTATCCTGCACAATGTCCTCTGTCATGGAGTGGTCACACTGCTTTCTCACAGAATAATTTAAATTGTTATATGATCTGGCCTGGGGGTGGTCAGCAGGTAAAAGTGCTTGTTGTTCAAGCCTGACACTAAACCCGGAACCCACTCTCGAAAGTCACTCTTTGGCCTCTATGCATAGCCCCTCCCCATAGTATTAAATTAAATGAATTTTTAAAATAATAGTAAAGGTAAATCTTTCCATTATTACCTGTTTCTAGGCTACAGTTTCTATTTAAGGACTTGATTAGATTCAAATTAAGCTTTTATTTTGGCAGACATATTTTACAGGGAGTTCCTTGTAGTCAGTATTCCCATCACATCAGTAGACATCCCTCTAGCGATGTGGAGACTGAGTCCTAGACTCAAATGGCAGCATCGAATAAATATAAAGCTTTCAGTCATCCTTACACTGAACTTTTTTATCAACTAGTGATAAGCCTTGTCTGAGCTTGTCATTTTGTTAGTGGTTACAGAAAGAAAATTTTCAAAATCAGCCCTTTGTTGGCTAGTTTTCTAAAAAATGGCATTTGTGCACTATGACTGTTATTTTCAAGTAGAATTCATATCAGAGAGGCGGAAAGAATCCCTGTTTTCATGTTCAGCCTGGATAAATTATTGTCCTAGAAACTTGTACTGGTGTCAGTGTTCTTCCTCTCACTCCTCTCTCCCTGTCTCATCTGTCTCTGTCTCCATGTCCTCCCACACACGAGCATACCTGTCTTGAATCTGATTCACTGACTGATGAAATACTCCCACATCGGTCATGGATTGTGCACAGTTTTCTTAACATTCAGTTAACTGTGGCCTTTTCTGGACACAGTCTTTAACCTCACCAAAACACTTTGAAAGAGCTTCTTTGCTTTCTGATGCAAGAAGATCTACCAGACCCAACTTCACAGATCTGGACCCTGGTTCTTTCAATGAGGAATAATTCTTGGGGAAATTAGTCTGAACTCTTGGTTCTTACTCACACTTAATTGTTACCATTCCTAACCTTTCTCAGTAGACACAGTTAATTCATTATTTTTAAATCATGCAGATACTTCCCGATTAGGATCAGATCTTCTTGACTATTGAGTAGGTAAAGTGTTCAGTAAATGGCATTTTATGAGATGTTTTCCAACAGCTATCACATGGCATTGTTTGTTCCCAACAGTAACAACAAGTCATTTTCTTTCGTATAATACAGTCTTTGTTCTTGAGATGTTCTTACACAAGATCTTTCTTCTGGCACTTTCTGTGTAATGATCATTGCACTCATTACCAGTTGAAACATTTGCTCTTTTATTCTTTTTTATTTAAAAAAACACTTTTTATATTTATATAAATTTTATCATATCAATTAATGCCTTTTTGATATTAATGACCCCATGACCTAGGAAAAAAATCACACCTTGAATTCAGTTAATGCTGTCCACATGCACAGGTGTGCAAGCATGCACAAACATTGGCAAATGTAACTCTCATTCCTTCAAGAGTAACCATGAATTGCTATTAGCTCCTTTGCCAAGGGTGGGCCTTCAAGTAAAATTTTTACTGGATTGACCATATTGAGGTCTTATACAGATAACCACAAGTCCTGTGAATTGATGTTTCATGTCTGAAGTCTGTACTTCACAGCTCTCCTCCTCGTCTGCCACCCCTTATATTCTCTCTGGCCACTTCCTCACGGTGTTCTCTGCACCTTGCGTGGAAGTTAAAGACTTAATATTCAGTCACAGCTGAACACTTAGGATTTCTTGTACCTGGTACCTTGACCACATTCACTGCTGTGCAGTGCAAAAAGTGACTTCTCGAAGTAAAGTTGAGTACAACACAAATGTATGGGTATAAACAAACATTTAGGAGGCAGTTTAGCAATATGACCATTTAATAACAATAGTAAGTGTCCCCCATAGAACCTATGATCTCCCCAGTCATAGACTTTTGACTGGTTTTACAATACCAGTTATTGAAATCACTCCTATGGAACAGACCTCTTATCTAATTTTTTAAAAAATATTTTGTTACCTCCATAACCATCCTCTTACCTAATTTTTTAAAAAATGTTTTGTTACCTCCATAACATGGGCAATCTTGCCAGCTATGTTATTATTATAGCATATAGGATCCAGTTGTGGGTGAGACTATTGGTGTCTTTTCTACTACAACAGCGTTCAGTGTACCCCCCCCCCCCCCCCCCCCCGTACCTCCAGCAGAGAAAGAGTTTCCTGGTCAGTTCAGGTTGATTTCTTTAAAGACATTTGCTCTTACATTTCTCTTTAAGGATCTTCTAATATGCTGCCTTTTTAAAAAATGAACATGCATACTGACACAACTGGTAAGGTTCAGATTGTGTTGTCTCAGCTATAAATCAGGGGGGAAAATATGATTCAGTTTTATAAAATAGTGACTAATTTTTACTGGTGAGCTGCCCTAGGCTAGCCATTGTGGCATGATTAGTCACAGGCTCTGTTACTAGGAAGCTTATCTAGGAGTAGAACAGATTAGGTAGGATAAAGACTAATTTTGCAACTTAAGATAGGCGTAACATATAGGACACTTCTTTATATAGTAAGCAATAACTTACAAATCCAGAACTGTCAGG